GACCATTTTCAGTGGGTCGTGGGTGTTTTTTTTTTTTTAAATTTTTTTTTTTTTTTCCACCGCCTCCCTTCCCCCCCCCCCCCCCCACCCCAGGCTGTGGTGGGGTTTACGCCCACGGAGACTCTCCATATCCTGTTGCAATGATGCAAAAACCTCCTAGCTTCTGTGGTCAACTAAGGTATAGGTAGCTGTCAAGACCTATACCTAAGGTATAGGTAGCTCTCAAGACCTGATCCGCAATTTTCTGGATGCGTCTATCTATGTGTGTTATTGCTATTTTAGCCTTTAAAGATGGTGTGTGTACAGGTTGTGGTGTGCCCCTTAAACTGTAGTGATGTGTATACACTGCCATCTACAGGCCATAAGCCGCCGATATGTTATGATTATTGGTTTCAAATGAAGTGGAGCTGCTTTGATGACCAAAGGAATTATCATGGTATAATTTTATTTCTGGGATTATACTTTTATGTTTGGTTTGTTTACACGCTCTGTGTATTTTTTTATCTGACTTAAGATTACACATTTATCTAAGTAATTACAGTGCAGGAAATTCCAGTGCTTGTTTAAATTAACGTGATGTTGTTTATTTTTTGAAGGAAGGGAAGAAAAAATTTGACAAGGAAACTGAAAAATATTACTCAGTGTTGGAGAAGCATCTAAATTTGTCATCAAAAAAGAAAGAGGCCTTTTTACAGGAGGTAAGCTTTAGTTATGCTAATCTGTCTCTATTTATATAACGTTTTCAAACCAAAGTGTTGCAGATTTACCCCAGTAAATAGAGGTGTCTTTAATCAACTGTGCAGGTGGGTTTTCCTGTGTCCCATTAAACTAAGGTTTTAATTGCTTCGCAGGCAGATATGCAGATCGATAAAGAAAGACAAATCTTTTATGACGCCTCTCTTGAATACGTCTACAAAATTCAAGAAGTTCAAGAGAAGAAGAAATTTGAATTTGTAGAACCAGTAAGTTATGTTTTTGCTTATTTAAAATGTATTTTTGTTTATGTTCAAAAAAGAAATTATGTATGTATGTATATAGGGCTGTGAATCAATAAAAAATGTAACTAATCGCCTAATATTACAACTTATAATCATATAAATATTTATACATTGAATCCCCAAATTAATGTAGAATTAACATAAACATTGTCAGTGGACTTCATTGATTGTGAGGAACAGGAAAAGACTGAAGCGTTGGCTGTCATGGTGAATGGTAACGACGACTGAAAGTGTGCACACCGTGTGTGCTTGTTGATTCAGCTAATTATTTAGTCTGTACTCGTAATTACGGTTTACGTGTTTACATATGCTGCTCATTTCGTTACCTTCAGTCTACTAAGAACAATTTGATCATTGCAAAAGAGAAACTCTGTCATGCAAACTGCAGATAGACACCCAGCTGTGCCAGGTCTGTATTTGGGAATTATGGCACTCAAAGGAAACACAAGCAGGATGAGCTTTCGTGTTACAACAGGATTCCCACCTTAGGCATATTGATTTCAGGGAGGTGGATACCATGCTATTTTTGTCCAAAAATACCCTCCCTCCATCAAATGCATCAAAATACTGAATACCGGCGTATAATGTTTGTATGGTAAGACAGTAAGATTTAGCTGCTGCTCAAGTCTAATGCTGGTTGCTCGGTTGGTGTTAGGATGCTGGCAGTAAAATTTCCCAGCTGGGGTACTGGTGAGTAAAATATATGCGGAACAGGCAATAGAGGGCGGCGGTTTGCTAACCTGTTGGCACAGGGTTGTGGTAACACACTTCTTGCCACCACTGAACAGTAGAATGGCAGATTTCAAAGACATTGTGCATTATTTATGGGTATCAAAGAGCTGCTGTCGGTTTACGGGAGATTCCTGGAACTTCCCGGAGAGGTTGGGTGTCTGCTGTAATGTTTGTAATATAACTATATGGAAAAAATACCTCTTAATCATTGAATTCAGGTGTTTCATTCAGACCCATTGCCAAAGGTGTATAAAATCAAGCACCTAGCCATGCAGTCTCGTTGGTTGCCAGGAGAACATTACCTGCCTGCTTCAGCATACCAAGACATATTGGACAAATCTATGCTTCCAACTTTGTGGGAACAGCTTGGGGAAGGGCCTTATTCCAGAATGACTGTGACCCAGTGCACAAAGCAAGGTCCATAAAGACATGGTTGGTTGAGAGAAAGAACTTGACCTACCCGTGCAGAGCCCTGACTTCAACCCCATCAAACACCTTTGGGATGAACTAGGATGGAGATCCAAAGAGAGCCAAGCCTTCACATTCAACATCAGTGCCTGACCTCACAAATGCTCTTCTGGATGAATGGGCAAGAATTCCCACAGACACACTCCAAAATCTTGTGGAACGTCTTTCCAGAAGAGTGGCAGCTGTTATGGCCCTCACTGCAGTCCTGATGCTCTCCACACATCACGATGGCCTAGGCTGCTGTTGACTTTGTCGTGTTTTTGTGATTTTTATTTTTATTTATTTGTATATCCATCCATCCACCCACTCACCCATCCATCCATCCATCCATCTCTTCATTCATCAATCTTCCAACCACGTATGCTGGTCAGAGTCATAGTGCTGGTGCAATGTCCAATTCTACATAAACAACTTATTTATTATGGATATTAATTATTGAATTATTAAAACTAAAACTAGCATTGTTACCCCAGTCAAATTAAGTGTTACCTTTATTATTCACATAATTTAAAAAATGCTGTTTTAAAAAATAAAACATAATAAAATGAAAAAAAAAACAATTCTACAAATATATTGGATTGTAGCTGTTGTTCCTTCTGACTTAGTCTGCTTGTTACATCCTGATTAATGTATGATTATTTTCCTCTTCCATTTCAGCTGCTAGCATTTCTCCAGGGTCTGTTCACCTTCTACCACGAAGGCTATGAGCTCGCACATGAGTTTGAGCCCTACAAGCAGCAGCTGCAGTTCAACTTACAAAATGTAAGAGTTTATTTCCAGTCTGCCGCAGTGACGCAATGGACTAGACCTCTCTACCTAGACCGTCTGCTAGTGATTCCCGGTCAGATTTTAAAGTCATACTGATACCATGAAGATTGGCATTCATAATATGTTCCCAGCTCTTATATTATCGGGCAGGTCTCTCTCCAGACGTAAATAGTTATATAGAAAGGTTTCATAGGCAACATTTTGGTTTTAAAAACGATTTTGAAAGGGGTGCTGTATTTTCAGCAGCATAGGTGAGTGTGGCCAATGCCATACCTATGTTTTTACTCATTTTTTAATCCAGTTGACTGTCAAATTACAGGTTCATCTACAGATAATGACTGGGTATTTCCACATCATGCCGGCCCCACCCAAGTACATAACATTTTTGCTAAACACATCTATGACTACAGGTTTAACAATGTCAAGTGCCCCCTTTACAGTCCCCCGATGAAAAGTAACTCAAAGTACCCGCTATCAACATTAAAAACACGTATTCCAGTCATTTTAAATTCTACCTTTGCCGTACATAAAATCACCTTTCTATAACTTCAGTAATTTTTCAGTGTCATAGTGCAGCAGATATCTAAACTTCCATTGTTCCCTTGTGCCTTTTTAAGACCAGAAACAACTTTGAGAGCACGAGGCAGGAAGTGGAGAAGTTAATGAAGAGGATACGGTCTGTGGATCAGGACTACAAAGCCCCGGGGCAGTGGACCATGGAGGGCTTTCTGTATATCCAAGAAAAACGTATGTTTTCTAGTTTTATTACCAAAATTAGTTTTGTTTTCCTTTCTTGCTCTTTTTTTAAATGATGTTGTTTTCTTTTGGCCATTACCTGCTGTGTGAAAACACTTTAAAGTGGTAAATTGCTTTGGGTCCCTAAAGTTTACTAACTTCTTTCGATTTGTTTTTACTGTCTAATTTTATTTTTCCTGAATGACAGTATCAAAGAGGCCGCTCCTTCGTAAAAGTAGAGAATTGTTACAGATAAACACGCTTATCCTGATCTTTGAGTTAATTATGCAGCTCATCTTGAAAGTTGCACCAGGATCTGGTGTTCCAGGAAAAAACAGAGATGTGTGCCGCTGTTGTGGTATCTTGCTGTATTTTTACACGAGTGATTCTCTTTTCCAGGCCCCTTGGGATGCACATGGACGGGGCACTACTGTACATATGACAAGTCGGCCAAGACATTCACCATGACAAACACAGAAAATAAATCTAGTGCCAAACAGGTACAGGGATATTTTAGCACATTTTGTACACTACTGTGATATAACACTGTGATTTTTCATTTTGGGTTTCTAAACTTTTGTTGTTTTCTCTTGTTGCGTTATCCGGTTATAAAAGCAAAATATCTCAAACGTCAAAAAAATGCTCTTTGGCATTTCAGATGAAATCCTAATGTTATGAACTGAAATAGAATACATTTAAGATGCTTTTCTGTCAAATTAGTGGTACTGTAGCTGTAGTCACAAAATCTTTCAGAAGGCATTAAAACCCCCTTTTCCGCTGTTGCTGGTGCATCAGAACGGCCTCGTTGTGAATTCGCCTGAGATGTTCAAGCTGAAATCCTGCATCCGGAGGAAGACCGATTCAATTGACAAGCGCTTCTGTTTTGACATTGAGGTGGTGGAGAGGTTTGTATTCACTCCGGTCCGTTCACCGTAATGCTGTTTTATGTATGACCAGTGCTGGGTTGTAACCATCCGTGTTTGTTCCTGGTTCTGCGGATCCCTTATTAAGCTCTTTAGTGTTCAAAGCTAGCAGACCTGAAACCATTTAGACATTTTCAAAGTTCTGTCTTATTGCTAAGGAATATCAAGAACTGATCTACTAAACTAAATAGAATAATAATTTAGTATGGCATTAAACTATGTAACGGCGTATAAATGTCCTGCATCATAATTCAAGGCCCTGTACGATTCCGTACTTTATACGTAATTACATACCGATGTGGATGAGCCTCTTACCCAGTGAAAAAGTGTCAGAAATGACTTCTAAACTTCTTATATAGACTCTGCCAGGATATCTCACGTTGTACAGATATTGCTAATGTCTGAAAAAACAACATCTTCATGCAACAATCAAATAGATGCATTAATAAAAATTTCTGGCGGCACTGACATTTATTAAAGGCACCAGTAATAGATGCAATCAGTGGATTTGATCTAGTTTCATTCTGTTTAAGCTACACTTTCTGAAATTCGGGTTTACCTGAAATCTGTAGTGAGAATGTCTCTAAAAGGGTTTTTATGTACTTTTCTGTACACGTGTCCGTTCCACAGTGTGGGATATTAAAACAGCAGCTTTATTTTCTGTGTGTACCCATTTCCCCCTCTCTTTGTTAATATAGAAATACCGTCTATCATGGAACTTTTTTCAGACCTCTTCAAATTTTCTATAAAGCCCGGTATGTTACCAGCATAATGTCTTTGTAGTGTAGTTGCATGATTTCGCTTATGTGCTCCTAACGATTTATACTTACTGATCTTAATGAAGAGAACTTTCCACTCCTTCTAGCCAATCACGCTCTACCTATCAGGGTAGATTTATTAAAATGCATGTAAAAATAATTTCACGGTAATTTTTTTTCCCCCACACGCACACTCATTACAGATGAGATGTTCATTACTATTAATCGAGTTTATACGATTATTTTATACGATTATTATAAAATAGCTGAGATACCACCTATAATTGGTATCAGAGTAAAATTTTTATTTACACTTGCATGTCATTCTGCTGTCCTGCAGCTTTGTATATGAAATATAACATTTATCTGGTCATTGATATTTCTACCAAAGACAATTAAACTCCTTTTTCTGCAGCAGATTCCAGCTTGATAGGGTTACATATAACAACTCCTGTCTCACAAATACTGCACTAAAAATCATATATATATGCATATATACATATATATATACACACACACACCATGAAAAATATTGCTGCACGTCTTGTATTGCTGAATTGTTTCACTTAATTCTAGAAAAGTTTTGTTCAGTGGTTTTGGAAGAAAAATTCAAAAATCATTAGTTATTCCGAAAAGCTAATCACATGGCAAAGGCACGGTGTAGAGTTCTTTAGTAGAGTTCTTTAGTGGCGCAGTGAGAATTCCACAGCTAACAATAAAGAACGTTATTCATTGTTATTAAAAAAAAAAAGATGTGTTTTGTCTGAGCGTCGCAGCTCTGCTATTCGCAGGTCTATGTCAGGTCTATGTTTACCCTCCAGTTCGCTGTAAAAAGATGTGTTTTGTCTGAGCAGGTCTGCTATTTGCGGGTCTATGTCAGGTCTATGTTTACTCTCCAGTTTGCTGTACTGAAAGGTATTTTTAGGAGCAGATTTTCAACTTACGTCATCATTCTATCAAAAAAAAGAAAATAGAAGAATTCTGCTTCTGTATACTTCACTTCCAAAGTGCGTTTAATCATATAACATGTTATATACCGACATTAGAAATTGTGGTATTGTGATGCTTCAATAAGGCCAGAATACAGATTGTATGTTAAGGTAACAAATGGTAAACTCTGTGGTGGAGACTGAAACCCCATTTGCCCTAAGCCGGTTAACGTTGAAGAATTGGAAGCGGTAACATATGCCAAATCCATCCATCTTGCAACTGCTTTTGCTGGTCATGGGGGCAGAGCCTGTCACATGTAGCACAAGGCTTGGCTGCTCTAAATTAAAACCTTAAGCCTTCCTATTTTGGTAGGTATGAGGATGTACTGGAGCTGTTTTTTGTCTGCATTTCCTTCAGGCATGGCATCATCACCTTACAGGCCCTGTCTGAGTCCAACAGGAGACTCTGGTTGGAGGCCATGGATGGCAAGGAGCCGGTAAGTATGCAGCTTATACAGCACAGCTCAGGCGAGTCAGTGAGGAAAGCAGGGGCATGCAAGCAGTCTAATGCAGACACTGTGCTAACGTCTTACTGCCTGGCATCAGTCTAGGGCAGTGTTTCCCAACCCAGTCCTCGGGGAACCCCCAGACAGTCCACGTTTTTGCTCCCTCCCAGCTCCCAGCCAATCAGGAACACCGAATAGCTGGTACAGGTGCGCTGGGAGCTGAGAGGAAGCAAAAACGTGGACTGGCTGGGGTTCCCTGAGGACTGGTCTATGGTGACCAGATGATCAGTGTCAGGCAGGACAGGATTTGCAAACTACCATTTCAAATAAAAGGACATGGATTTCACTTTAGCACTGACTTCTTGCCTTATGCTGATTGGTCAGTCTCCTATAATCATGCATGTGTCAGTAATGTTAATGTGAAACAGCTGGATGAGTCTTTCAATCAAGGAAACAAACCAGTCAAAGCACAAATAGAACTGAACCCCATTTAGCCGAGCACAGGAGCCTTTCGGTTTTAAAGTACAGACGCTCCTCTACTTGGAATGAGATACATGCCGAACGGCCGCTCGTAACTTGAAATTCGTTATTCAACATCATTTTAAGGGTAAACGCAAGTACAAATAACTAGGATGCTGGGAGTACACACGCTACGCTGCTGCGCGGCGGGAATAGAGGCCAGAAGTCGTACTAGGCGGAATTGGTGCGCAGAAAAAAAAGCTTGATGTTGCGGACAGGAAACGGGAGCCCAAGGAACACAATTTGGACTTACTGTACAGTCCTCTTCGTTTGTATGTCTGAAAGTTCGTAAGTAGAGGAGTGTCTGTAGTTTGTAAAACCTGACGTAGCTCGTAGTATCCCTCCAGATGTAGATTTGATCATCACCCTACATCAGTCACCATTGGTCACCAAATATTGGACTTTATATATGTACATCTGCTGCCTAACCCTACTTTTTGTCTTTATATTTAATGCTTTTATCCATGGCAACTTATAGTAGAGGGAAGGTTTTCTTTTTTATGTGTGCTTCTGCGCATTTGAACCTACAAACTTTGCACTGCCAGTGTAAAACTACTTGTTGAGCTAAATTACTTACTGCTTGCTGGTCTTTTCCTCTAGATATACACTCTGCCAGCTCTTCTCAGCAAGAAAGAAGAGAGTAAGTCTGCCTTTCGTATTATTGAACTGTAGCTTCTACTTTTCTGTACCAGGTACCAGTGCGGTAGCGATTCTCTGTGACAGTCCACTCAAGTGGCTGCCAAGGTACAATGTCAGAGATATCAAGGAACCATGAGCAAGAGGGACTGGAGTCATTTCACATTTTGGTGACCTAGTTTTCTTTGAACCCTAACCCTAACCCTAGTTTTCTTTGACTTTGCATGCAGTGTTCCTGAATGAGGCCGGCTTTAATTTTGTGAAGAAATGTATTCAGCTGGTGGAAACGAGGGGTAAGATGTTGCAATTTTATACAATTGCTTAATGTTAAATTCAGATACATAATAAGATTTTAATTACACATGCATCATTCGATTTGAAACTGAAGTAGTCTGTTGCGCTTTGGAATTCCAGTTCTAAAACAACATCCCATTTCTTTATACTGTGGATGTTTTCTAGCGATGGCAAAAACAACACTTTATGAACCATTTGCAGTATTTTTGGGCCCCACTAGATGGTGCTGTCTGTACAAAAAAATGGGCTCAAAGCATGTCCCAAAGCAGGCCATGAACACCATCTAGTGGGATCAAAAAATACCTCAGATGGATCATTAGGCATCGTTTTGGCCAGCAATAATATAATTTTTTTAACTTTCTGTGAAAGCTAATTTGACGACTTTCTGCTTTTCAACTACACATTTTTTTTTTTTTTTGCTTAATTGGTAGATGAAGCAAATTAATGTTGCATACTTTGTATATTTTCATTATTATCTCAGGACTTTAATGTAATGCTTGGACTGAAAAAAATAAAAATTGTGTTTAAAATTGTTCTTATCTGGGTGAGGCTTTGACAGAGATAAAGCATCAGAGTAAGATAGAGAAAGTGCAGTAGGAGACTTAGTGTGAGAACCAGCTTGTTATTGTACTGATGAATTCAGTCTGTTGTTAACATATAATAAACAGGGCTAAATGGTGTCTGTTCTTTTTTATAATATTCTGTCTGCTATCCGTGCATTAGAGGGTGACACAGGAGTAGATTTTCACTCCTGTTCCCACAAGAAAACTCCCGTCCCAGTAAAAATAAATAAATAATAAAAAATCCAGTCCCATCCCAATCCCGGAGGAATTAATCCCAGTCCCATCCCAATCCCAGTGGCGAGGTGGGGGATGATTTTAAGATTGCACATCTGAGGTATTTCTTAAGTACTTTGCACATCTTACATACAGCGTACACTGTTTGATTACTGTAACGCTCAACTCTAAGAAACTTCCTCAAAATATCTGTCTTGCCTGAAAACTTGCCTGAAAGTGAGATATTAGGATCATTGTTGTTAACTTCATTGCAACACTACCTTGTCTGATTCCGACAAAATCAAAGCCTGCGTCATGCATTGCACTGGTCAGGTGGTACTGGTACTGGGTACCTGTAGCCAACCAGCTACTAGTAGACAGGAGACTTAAAAAGTCAACAACACAGCTAGCATTGTGTTCAAAATAAAGAAAACAGCGTTAATTTACATTAGATCACCACATAAAAGCTGGCCAATCAGCATGATTCAGACCCCCCGCCGCTGCCATTGACGATTTTCCTGTCCCGTCCCGGACTTGTGACTAATAATGAAACTGACTCCCATTATGTGGGATTTCAGCCTCAACTGTGCATCATGTCGGCTGTGAATCTTGTATGTAAAACTGCATATGACATCATAAGTGCATAGTTAATTGTGTATATATTTGCTTTTTTTTTAAGGCATTAACACCTTGGGACTTTATCGAATAGGAGGAGTTAACTCTAAAGTGCAGCGACTGATGACATCATCATTTGGTATGAGTCCTTTAAGAGTGAAAAATTTGATTTCCGATTGCATTGTTGTATTTAACAGCAAACACTCAAAATTCGGATGAAAGAAACAAAGTTGTTTTTGCGCAGCAAACAAAGCCTCCACAGATATGGACCTGGATCCAGACACTTGGGACAATAAGACCATCACTAGTGGCCTAAAGAATTACCTCAGGTTTGTTTGTTCATCCCACCGACGTGTAGCAGCTACTCCTCCTGATTTTCTGGAAAGGTGATGGCCTTGTCAAAATATCCTCACTAGCTTAATTTCCTTGAGATGTAAAATTTGGTTTCATCATATTGGCCTACATTAGTATGGATATTCACATTTCCCTTGTTTTATTAATTTCTGTGCTAGTCAGTCATTATAATCGTTGTGAATGGGGTGACCAATCACTTACTGATTTCTTCTCCAGATGTCTGTCTGAGCCTTTGATGACGTACAGACTTCACAAAGACTTCATTATGGCTGTCAGTAAGTCAAGAACAGCTCTGTCTTTCTGCTCTCTCCTATTCCATTGGTCTTTGTTTACTAGCTAATTATCCTCCAGTGCTATAGTCTAAAAATATTACACTGCTTTGTCTTTCAGAGTCCGATGACCAGAACTACAGAGTCCAAGCAGTTCATGCCCTGGTCCACAAGTTGCCCGAGAAGAACAAAGAGATGCTGGATATTCTAATTAAACACCTGGTCAAGTCAGTATAATCACATATGTAAAGCATTAGCTAGCATATAAAATAAACCTGACTGGTAAAAATTATATAGGGGGTGGTGCCTTATACCACTGGGCCCAGGGCTTATAGCTCGAGAAACGTGGATGTGAATGGCGTGTGAGTGTGTCCTGCGATGGCCTGGTGACCCATCCTGGGTTATTCCCTGCCTCGTGCCATGTGATGGGCTGGTGCCCCATCCTGGGTTATTCCCTGCCTCGTGCCCTGTGATGGCCTGGTGCCCCATCCTGGGTTATTCCCTGCCTCGTGCCATGTGATGGGCTGGTGCCCCATCCTGGGTTATTCCCTGCCTCGTGCCCTGTGATGGGTTGGTGCCCCATCCTGGGTTATTCCCTGCCTCGTGCCCTGCGATGGGCTGGTGCCCCATCCTGGGTTATTCCCAGCCTTTTACCCTGTGATGGGTTGGTGCCCCATCCTGGGTTATTCCCTTCCTCGTGCCCTGCAATGGGCTGGTGCCCCATCCTGGGTTATTCCCTGCCTCGTGCCCTGTGATGGCCTGGTGCCCCCATCCTGGGTTATTCCCTGCCTCGTGCCCATCACTTCTGGGATAGGCTTCAGATCCCCCTGATCTTGCATTGGATAGGCGGTTGCAGAAGATGGATGGAACAACAAGATGACAAATTATTAGAAATGATTTTCCCTTCCCATTGTACTTGCACACACCTAGTTCTAATTTGTAGCATTTTTCATAACTGTTGATTTTCTGGGAACCAGGTTGGTATTGTTTTGGCTACAAGCATAAATTTACCCTAATCTCATTCTACTGTGGAAACAGAAATTAACATTACCATAACTAATATTTAGTTAATTATGTCCTGATGTATGGTTATCATCTTCGAGCACTATAATATATTAAACAACGGTAACAGGGTTCTAATTACTATATAATTTTTTACATAAGTAGCATTATAGTCATACTGTTATTTTGAAAATTAGATTCATATTTAACAATATTAAACATCCTTCATTATGTTGCCCTTTACAGATTTTTGGTTGTATTTTTCACTTAATTCATATAATATACCTGGATTTTAAGTATTTTTACAAAAACTTGACAGCTGACACATTTTGCCTCAATAAGTATTTGTTCATTTAGCAAAACACTTAAAATTACCCTGATGTGCCACTCATTTTCATGCAAAATTTGAGTTAGTCAGATGATCTGGTTCATATGATCGCTTAAGCAATAATGCTTCACGTCCAGCCAGTTTCTGGTGAAATATTCTTTCAAAAAAACTGCTTGGTGATGCTGTGGTTCATTTTCAGAGGTGTATAATAGCATCGAATTTTGAAGGCTTGCTCGGCCATAGTCAGTAATTAGATAATAGAATGATATGCTGTCATACGGCAGTCATGAAGAATTTATGCCTCTGCTGCCTGCAAGACAACTACCTCCACCTCCGGCAACTACCCTCCAACCTGCCTGCCCTTGGCTCAACACGATGCCTCGCCATCCATCCTGCGGCTGTGCCTCTATTAATCCTGCCATCGTGCATCAAGCACCATGTGCCTGCACCGGTCGGCCGCTGCATTGAGACTTATATTTCAACCCCTGTATTAGCTTAGTCATATCATCTTGTTTGTTTGACTCATCTGCCGGCTCCTGGATGATGGCGTCACCCTTTGGATCTGCATCCTCCCAGTCT